AGGTGTACAAGCATCTCAAGGGGCACTACTCAGTCGAGTGTCCTTACTTGGAGCTGGCGGACGCTCGCCCCACAAGGGGTCACAGCTCAAGATTGAAAAAGTCGCAAGTCCAGAAAACTGTGAGGGAAAACTTTTTTGGAGAGAGGGTTGTAAACTCTTGGAACAATCTACCAGAAAGTGTTGTGACGGCACCGAGTGTGAGCTCTTTCAAGACAAGGCTTGACCAACACTGGAGCGGGTTCAGGTACATTCAGGAGCCGGTGCATGCCCAGTACTTGCCAACAGTGCATAACAGAGACGTGACCGATCGCCCAAGCGGCTAACGAGCCGATGAGTGGTGAAGAGTGTAAAAGTAAAGTAAAAGTAACTCAGTCGCTGTACATTTAACTATGAAAATAAATGCCATGGGTCAGGTGAATTTCTGACGTCTATTCTTATGATCTAATCAGAGATTGAGCTTGCCAGAAAGAAGTGAAATACACACGCTGTTAACACTAGTTCTCCCTGTAACGGGCCGAGTTCTTTTCATTTTATATCCCACCTAATCTGCCATCATTTGTGGTGGCGCAAATTCATTCAGTTTAATATTCTATCTAAGCTGCCACTATTTGTACTGGGCCGAGGTTCTTTACTTCATATTTTATCATCCAGATATTCTTTTCTGTTATTATTCTTCAATTCTTTATTTATAATTATACTTTATATTCTTATTTTGTATTCTTATATAAGTAATTCTCTTCTCAGTTATGTATGTTTTTTATATTAAACTTTCATGGTGTAGTTATTTAATAATTTCTATGCTGTGTCTTTAGTTCCACATTGTACATACATGTCTTATCTGTCTTTTCTTATACTTTCCAAGTCTTTCATTTCTTTTCATATACTGTATATTATATTTTCTAAATTTATATGTCCTTACCTTTCTGAAGTATTTACTCTGTTTTACTTATATTCTCATACATGGGTTAGTCTGGGGAACCATGTTATTCTTAGTACCACACTTATTATACTTACAAAGGGTAACTGCCACCACCCAGACTTTTTATTATATAACATAACTCATGGAAAGCTTTGGGTAGTGTGGTAGATGTATAGGCACGTGAGTAAATCTTATTTTCTGGGAACCAATGTTTAGAAGGAGTAGAGAGGTGATACTCGTAGATTACTAATGCAATATTTATTAACACAGTGAGTGAATGCGATTTTACTTAAATTCACCCAGACAAAACTGGACCCTTCAGGTCTTACTGTACTATTGACAAAACAGAACCGCAATTACTTATCAATTCATCAAACACTTCAAGTACTTATTATATCATTAAACACCTCCAAGTACTTATTACTTCATTAGACAATTGTTGTATTATTCCTCTGACAAATGAGATTCAGTAATTATTGTACACGATAAGATAACACTGGACCCTCAGGTCTTACTTTATAAGTAACAATTTACATCTTCAATTCTAAGTTACAACATTTATCAATCATTATATTATTCCATTGTTACTGCAAATGGATATTATGACACACTTGACACTATCCCGAATTAAAATAGTCTTTATAACAACAGGTGATTTCGGTATGACTAATGTGACACTTTAACGAGTATTCAGTGGTTTGGTGGACTCAACTCCGAGAATAACAATAACCCTGGTACCACCAACATTCATGGATTCAATACTTAACCTGGGATGACTATATTTCTGCTAATCATCCCCAAGCAGGGATATTAATACGGCTCCATACATATAACCAAGAACAGTAGATGGACCACACTCAAGACGGAGTCAGTGGGCCAAAGTTGTTTACAGGCTCCTTCTCTAGCTCGGAGCGACCGCCCCGGGAAAGGTTGAATCGTGGCGGTGGGCCGTGGCGTCTGCCAAGGAATCTCGCCCTGGGATTCTAATCTCGCCACCTTAAAGACATCCTTCGAGAGCCATCTCGCCCAGAGGCGGCTCCCGAACCTCAGTCGTGTTGCCAACACACACAAACAGTTTCTGGAGACGTGGAGGAGAAATCACAGAGGGAGTGAATATTTAACTTCACTATACAAAACATACGTCTGGCAACGGTCCAGACGCTATCTAAATCTCTACGTTACTCGACCTAATTGGCACAGAAGTTACTATGTTAAAACATGAACACTGATATTCACAAAAATCGACTAAGTTAAACTGAATTAACACGGCGGCGAAAAACAATCATCTACACACCTGGAGACGTGGAGGAGAAATCACAGAGGGAGTGATTTTTCCCCGCGCGTCGGCATGTATACGGGCCTGAGGGCATATCCCTACTAGAAAGACTAATTTTACTAACAATAGGCCTTCTATTCAAATTAGTCGCTGGACACCTAGCTGTGACCGTCAGTGTCACAGATCAGATTAATTTTCTACGTTTATCTTTATGATCTAATCAGAGATTGAGTTTGTCAGTAAAGAGGTGAAATGGAGTTATATATGCGTTCGCAACTCTACTGGCCTGACCGCAAACCACAGCCCAGGCCGAAACAGCCGTTAAGTCTTGGATATTTGAGTTTGACAGGAAACGTTCAGGAGATTAATGACTTTCTTAAATAGACAACTGGCACGAACTAAACTACAAACATCAGATTCTCTGATGTCTGGGCAACAAAATAATATAACTTCAGTAGCGATCGGAAATTCAGGATACTCCCACGAACGACATAAAATACGCCACTCTAGCTGGCAAACTCGACACTCACTTACTTGACAAGTTTTACTAACAATGAGGACAGTTGAAGCTTTCAACACCACTCACAATGGATCTTGAATGTTCCAACTGTAAACAGACATATCTAGGTTGCCTCACCAATTGCAACCACAGTTGCAATTTCAAATTCTGTCATTACTAAGGAATAATGAAGTTCTCGGGTACATTCAAGATTGAGAGAAAACGGCAGACTCAGGCGTTCTGAAGCGCTGAGAAAACGGACTCTTCAGATGGGGAACTTCACTAAGAAAGCATAGCTACATGGTTTGTGGGCTATTGAGCGTAATATGAATCGTCTGATTTTACGATGACTGACGTGTACGACTGTGGTCATTACACTCGAACCTCTTCCGCTTCGTGTGGGACCAAGTAGGGTAGATCTGATAATACTGTCCACTTCGCTGATGCATTATGGGTCGTCTTACTCGTGTGTTTGTTTACCTTCGTTGGCGCTGTAATAAAGAGTACTGCGCTCTCATGGACATTTTTTCCTCCCAATCACCAAGGTCAATCCTATATTACAGAAAGAACGTGATTTTAGTCCATTTGATTGGGGAGGAAAAGATTTTACAAAATATAAATACTCGTGGAGAGCCTGTTAGTTACAAACACAGGGGAAATATAATTTTTCTAAGGTTTCCAATGTAATTTTCAAATATAACCAATGTACAGTAATGCATAAAATAACAGGAAGTGGTTTTAAGTGCTGATATGCCCTTATATTGTCACGGATTAAAAATTGTGGTTTACAGATAAAACAAATTTATAAACGCCGCAATTTCAATACGTTTTATAGGTAGACGGTCGTTTTATGTCAAATGTTTTAGTTTTATTTACAAGTTAGTTAACGTAACCTAGCATAACTTATCACATGCCGTGGGCGAACTTACTATTACTGAGACGGGGGAAGCTGCTGTGAAGTCCTCTATATTAGCCAAAATACTGTATCACATATGCTTCAGTCACATTATCATTAAATAATCAAACTCCATCTCCCAGTGAACTTGTTTTATTATGCACCTAATTCAGCCAAATGGAAGTTTACCAAAACGAAATAATGTAATTGATGAAAAATTAGAGCCTGCAGTATTTCACATATTATATCATGAACCACTGTTTCAAAGGTGTTTTTGTAGGTAATGTTACCATCAACTCAATTTCAATTTCAATTGTTTATTCCTTGATAGAGGAAGCGGGATCCTAGTGCTGTCACTAGGTACCCCTGTACAATAACACCAGAAGCATCTGGCAAGTGTGACAAGTATATACAGTATAAATATTATAAAGGGGCTTACTAAAGCCTAAGGAAGGAAGGATATTCCTTTAACACATAATCAATGTTATTTACATAATATCTGGCCAGTATGGGGAGGATCATCGTGTCTCCGTCAGGGGGTCGTGGAGTGGTGGTCCAGCAGGCGTCACGGAAGCGTTGTGTGTGGGGACATCTTAGGAGGTAGTGGATAAGGGTGCGGCTATCGGGTCATCTGCATAATGCACAAGAGCGTTGCTCAGGGGATGCGGGGATACCAATCTCCCAAGCAAAGTCATGTGCAAAAAAGATGCACCTGGATAGTACCAATAGTAAGGAGGCGTATCACATGTCCCAACAGAATGAAGAGACTGCATAAATTGAGGCTGAATGTGAAAAGGACCTGTGTGTGTATGTCGACAATGAACTTAAGTTCTCGCGCCATTGTGAGAAGAAGGTGAATCAGGCAACGAAACTAGTAGGTCTTATAAGAAGGTCGTTTAGATATCTGGATGGTCCCTGAATCGTCACGATCTTCAAGAGTGAGGAGCTTCCCTGCCTGGAGTAATGTCACCCTGTTTGGTCCCCGAGGTATGCTAAAGATTGTCAATTGATTGAAAATGTTCAAAGGAGGGCCACCAGACTGGTGCCTGCTCTACGGATCCTCAGTCATCCATAGAGATTGGATCGCCTGCAACTGCCTAGCTTATACTACAGACGGGCGAGGGGCGACCTAATCGAAATGTATAAACATCTCGGGGGGCACTTCTGGTCGAATTTACATACATGGAGCTGACGGATGTCCGCCTCACAAGGGGTCACAGGTCAAGGTTGAAGAAGCCACTAGTCCAGAAAACTGCGAGGGCAATTTTTTTTCGGTGAGAGTTGTGAACTCCTGGAACAATCTGCCGGAGAGCATTGTGACGGCACCGAATGTGAGCTCATTCAAGGCCAGACTTGACCAACACTAGAGCAGGTTCCAATATATTCAGGAGCTAGTGCATGCCCAGTCTCTGCCAACAGTGCGTATCAGAGACACATGACCGACCGCCCAAGCAGCTAACGAGCCGATCAGTGGCAAAGAGGATAAACGCTAAAAAGTACTTGAGGATCATCAAGTGGTTCTGACTTAATATGTGATGAAATGCAGCATTATTGGATATAAACCAATCATATAGGTGAACCAGAATTAGATGTCAGATATTGCTAAATGTTCAGGGACTTTTGTCTCCCACTGTACATGTTTTGCTTCTAATAATGTTACTACCGTTGTTGTTTTCGTTGTCGCTAATAGTGGAGACTTGCTGTTATTAGTCAACACATGTTTATAAGGAGTATCTGAAAGGGATTTCCCTGAGGTTTTTTGTGGTCCACTGGTCGATCTTGTTCACCATTTCAGGAGACAATTTCTCCTTCCAACTACACACTGTACCTGATAGTGTAACAACAAAATTATTAATTACACAGTGGACATCCCTTTCCTGGTATAATTGTGATTTTTATCTGAAAACTTTTATATTACAATATTCACTGATTAAATTACAAAATAAAACTCCATTTTTGAACCAAAATATACCTGGAAATTATCATGTAAAATAATATTATGTAAATCAGATGAATTCTATCACCTGGCCTCTTCACGAGCCCTTTACCAGCACATGTTTGTTCCTTAATTTGTTTCGTATTATTTTTCAGTTGAATGAAATTTAGTTTTCAAAAATAATATCTTCAATATCTATGGATTCCCCAGGCAACGTTTCTGCATAGTCCTAAAATATCATTGTAATTTCATTAAGCTATTATCATGTGAAGTTACTTCTATTTTAAGCTCACCTTTCCTAAAGAAGCCCCCGTCTTGCCTCACTATCTCCTTGAAGAACATAGGGTTGTCTTCTGTTTTGGGTCCTAACAATTTGTCCCGAGCTGCCATCCGATTGAAACTGGTGTAGTCAGCTACCTACAGTATGGATACAAGAAAGTTTTGTGAGAAAACAAACAAAACAATTGAATAAATGTCATTGTCTAAAGACACGTGGCATATTTTTCTTGCATTTTCTCATCCTATAATGATATTAATAGCTATAGGCTAAAGCTATGGTGTACGCAAACGAATACTTCATGAAATCTCTGAGAACGCATGTCATCATACATTACAGAGTTGTTTTTTAGTGAGGTTTAAGCCTAGAAACTTGTTCAGCTTGTTCAGTTCAGTCATAATGTCGGCCTTCAAATCTTCATAGAAGATGAAATGAAAGTTTGGGTGGTGACGCTTCGCCCACGCCTCCTGTACGTGTAACCAGTATGGTCCATACAGCACTGTAGGGAAAAACACCCACATCCTATCATAATGAGTACTGTATTCCCACACGTATAACGCGTGTGAAATTACATGATATCTGTAATTTCATTATTCATACTTACAAACTATTTATAATGCATCTGATGTTGAGTAACTTAAAATACTGTAATAGCATCTAATGGTACTACTCATATTGTGACATTGTTTTCGGGAAGTCTTCTAACATTTGTCGTTGACGAAATAGTTGACGAAATTGTCCATGCTTCCTGTGAAATTTAAAGATTTAACGATACGGTAGTGATGATGAAGAGAGACAATCACATCCCTGGGGTTCCTGGCCACGAAGACAACCTTAGAAACGATATTTCTATTAATGATAATTCGTCAGAGTTCCTGTGGAATATACTGTATACTCAAAAATATGATATGTTAATAACAAAATCAGGGCAGGCATGTGTGTGCACAGAATGACTGCAAATTATTTTGGTGAATGATCATAATTTGAAGTACAGGGGTGTATTGACAACGTTTATTATTACCTTACTGTTGTCCAGGATCGTTGGATGAAGGAGTGACAGAGGAATATGGGTCTTGATGGTTCTAGGGTCAGGCATAACGGTAGCTAGCTGCAACTGAACACCATCGGCTGGGTTGGCTCCTGGACACACCTTCAGGAAGTCGGATAGAAGTGGGTTGTCCGGATTGGGGTTCTGGAGGGTCTCGGCTAACATAAACATATCCATGCTGTGGGAACACCGGAAGTCTTATACACGTATTTTGGTCCCTGTCAGGTAGTTTTCATAATATCTACTTTATCAAGTAATTTTATATTCCTTTAATGTCACTCAAAGAGTTTCAAATTGATCTAGAGACACTTGGTAAACAAAGTACTGTACAGGAGTACTGTATTACAATTTATAAAGACTAATACTTTTAGCCAAGGTGTTGCCTGCTATAAATCTATACAGTATTATCATATTGTCTTACGTTGGAAGATGACGCCTTACATGTGGGAAATACACAAAACTGTAACATATTAAAACAAGCCTTACACTAGATGTTAAGTTTAATGCAAAAATAAATTGTATTTCCTGTAAGACATCTTTGAACTTGTAAAGTTTATTTTAGTGTAGTTTTTGACCAACAACTCATTCCTTACATAACAAGGGTGAAATCCCTGGGTCTCATGTTTTAGAAGAAAAAAATTGTAAAATGAGAACCGTCACTAATTACTCAATGAAGGGAACTCGGGAAGTAATTGACATGTCAGCCAAGGGGTTGTTCAGGTCAGGGTTGTTCCTCATAGTCCAGATGATCTCCTGCATCCATGTTGTGCCGCACTTGGGCCACGTCATCACCACCACGTCGCCCATTCGCCACTGTGGAGACAACATGCAGTACATATCCGAGGCCATTGTGTACCTGTTTCATGCCGCTAAAACAATATTCTTTATTCACCATATTACCTTCATAGGGCTGTAGCATAAAGTTAATTTACACTTTTGTTCTTGAATGTGATTTATTTGCATGAATACGGTAGGTAGTAGGCAGCTACCACACAGGGAGGTACTACCGTAATGTGTTGTCTAATGGTAGACCCTGCTACCATATGTGACCAAGTCCCAGGTTGATGATCTGACTTTCTGCCTCATTTACACACAATTGCAGGGTCTCAATTGTTTCTCTCACTTTGACAACACAACATACATACTGTATATTGTTTCTCACTATTGATTTTGTTTTTCATTTTTGTATTTCTTTATAGTTCTTTATTATTATTATTGTTATAATTATTATTTTAGTTTTATTATAAATTTTATTTACTATAAATTATTATTATTAATATAAATTATTTTTTAGATCGCCCCCGAGGGGGCTAGTTTATTGGGCACCCCCTTATATCCAGTGCAAGGTGAAGCACAGAAGCATTTGCAGCGCCCATCTGGGAAGCATTCGTAGTTCATGCTTGCCTTTATGACTCCACTTATTAATACATTTTCGCCCCCCAGGCCCCGATGTTGGTCAGTGACCTGTGCCCGGGTGGGTTAATCCCCGTAAAAATGAAAACAAATAAATAAACAAAAAGAGTAGTTTCCTCACCTGAAAGTTGTACAACTTGTCTGCATAATTGAAAAAGGCTCCGGGGAAGAACCAGTTACCAGGAGTCAAGCGAATCATCCCACCAGGCAAAGATGCAAATTCCTTCTCCATCTGAGCCTCGTGATCCTCCTCCAGTGGCACCACTTCATGGCCGCTTGCAAGAAACATCGTCCCTGAGGAAAGTCACCATAGCCAAAAGGAGTTTGATTCTCTTATGTTATTTTTCAGTGATAATGAAAATAATGGTAAAGATTCGTTTTATACACAAATTATTTTTTTATTACACACACCACACAGTCACACACCACACAGTCACACACCACACAGTCTTACACCACACAGTCACACACCACACAGTCTTACACCACACAGTCACACACCACACAGTCACACACCACACAGTCACACACCACACAGTCACACACCACACAGTCACACACCACACAGTCACACCACACAGTCTCACACCACACAGTCACACACCACACAGTCACACACCACACAGTCACACACCACAGTCACACACCACACAGTCATACACCACACAGTCACACACCACACAGTCACACACCACACAGTCACACACCACACAGTCATACACCACACAGTCACACACCACAGTCTTACACCACACAGTCACACACCACACAGTCACACACCACACAGTCACACACCACACAGTCACACACCACACAGTCATACACCACACAGTCACACACCACACAGTCACACACCACAGTCACACACCACACAGTCACACACCACACAGTCTTACACCACACACACACCACCAGTCACACACCACACAGTCACACACCACACAGTCATACACCACACAGTCACACACCACAGGCCACACCACACAGTCACACACCACACAGTCACACACCACACACACACACAGTCACACCACAGTCACACACCACACAGTCACACACCCACAGTCACACACCACAGCCACACCACAGTCACACACCACACAGTCACACACCACACAGTCACACACCACACAGTCACACACCACACAGTCATACACCACACACAGTCACACACCACATTCACACACCACACAGTCACACAGCCACACACCACACAGTCACACACCACACAGACACACACCACACAGTCACACACCACACAGTCACACACCACACAGTCACACACCACACAGTCATACACCACACAGTCACACACCACACAGTCACACACCACACAGTCACACACCACACAGTCACACACACACCACACAGTCACACACCACACAGTCACATACACCACACACACACACCACACAGTCATACACCACACAGTCACACACCACAAGGTCACACACACCACACAGTCACACACCACACACATACACCACACAGTCACACAGTCACACACCACAGTCAACAGCACACACCACACAGTCACACACCACAGTCATACACCACACAGTCACACACCACACAGTTACACACCACACAGTCATACACCACAGTCACACACCACACAGTCACACACCACAGTCACACACCACACAGTCACACACCACAGTCACACACCACACAGTCAACACCACACAGTCACACACCACACAGTCACACACACAGTCACACACCACACAGTCATACACCACAGTCATACACCACAGTCACACACCACACAGTCATACACCACACAGTCACACACCACACATCATACACCACACAGTCACACACCACACAGTCACACACCACACAGTCACACACCACACAGTCACACACCACAGTCACACACCACATCACACCACAGTCACACACCACACTCACACCACACAGTCACACACTCCACCACACACACAGTCACACCACACCACCACAACACACACACAGCCACACACAGTCACACACCACACAGTCACACACCACAGCACCACACAGTCACACACCACGCACCACACACCCACAGTCACACACCACAGTCACACCACACAGTCACACACCACACAGTCATACCACACAGTCACACACCACACAGTCACACCACAGTCACACACCACACAGCCACCACACAGTCACACACCACACAGTCATACACCACACAGTCATACACCACACAGTCATACACCACACACAGTCATACACCACACACCACCACCACACCACCACAGTCACACACCACAGTCACACACCAGTCACACACCACAGTCACACACCACAGTCACACACCACAGCTGCACACCACACACACACCAGTCACACATCACAGTCACACACCACAGTCACACACCACAGTCATACACCACAGTCACACACCACAGTCACACCACGTCATACACCACAGTCACACACCACAGTCACACACCACAGTCACACACCACAGTCATACACCACAGTCACACACACCACAGTCACACACCACAGTCACACACACCAGTCATACACCACAGTCACACACCACGGTCACACACCACACAGTCACACACCACAGTCACACACCACACAGTCACACACCACAGTCACACACCACACAATAATAGAGGACTTGCTGGTCACAGAGGAATCGTCGGTCCACACTGAACACTTCGTGCAAATCACACTGACTTGCAGCTGCTGGTGGTTGCCCGGCAGGTAGGCAGTTCACAGATTGCGGTGGTGCCAGTTCTCCTCGGCCAACCTTCTCTAGATGAGCCTACAAAAATTCCCTTTTTGTCACAATATTTCTAGGTTTCTTACATTTACTTTTATCCTCTTCACCACTGATCGGCTCGTTTGCAGGTTGGAAGGTGGGTCAGTAGTCACGTCTCTGCTACGTACTGTTGGCAAGTAATGGGCATGCACTGGCTCCTGAATGTATCTGAAGTTCTGAACCTATGCAGTACAGTGTCGTTGTCTGGTTGGTCAGTCTTGAACAATGAGATGAAAGCGCGGCGCTCTTGAAGAGTATCCCGTGTGTACTCTGATAGATTACCAAATATCCTATATCAGTACGATTTTTACTCTGTGTAAACCCCGCCATCTAGTGCGTGAGAAAGGTGCTGTATTAGAAAATGGCTCAGGAGTAACTGCTTTAAAACTCGGGACCCTATTCCTCGCCTATACCCCTATACTGCCTTCAGTATGAGACTTTTTATTATTAATTTTACCTAGTTAATGTTATTAGAAAATTGCAATTCATTATGTACTACACCATATGGCATGCTGGAAATCAATCAACACAGGCAATGCAATCTGAGGTAAATGATCTACATTTGTAGATATTGTAGTGTTACTTCACTCCCATATACAGTGACTAGTTTACATGGTATATACTGTACTTGTGGGGCAACATTTCATATGGTTGTTTTCAGTTATCATTATTACTAATGGCTCCACTGTGTTCACAATCATTCAAAGTACATAAACTGAGAATCTTGTGTCCTCTTTATACTGAAAAATTAGTTTTCTTGCACTACAAAACATTCCCCCAAAATGTATGGGAAATACATTATAATGGAATTTAAGTTAAAAAACAGTAGTATACTAATATTGATTTTTATTACAAGAAATGTCAGACAAACACAAGCACAACGATTTCTTAACACATGAAGTAAACATTGAAATGTTTTAGTAAAAGAAAGGAATAAAGACAGAAAGAAGAAAGATATATATATATATATATATATATATATATATATATATATATATATATATATATATATATATATATATATATATATATATATATATATATATATATATATGAGGCTGTGTATTTAAAATTCTGCTTAAATAACTAAGTACCCCTCGCCAGCGCCCGCCAGATGTTACGTGGTTTTATATTTAGACGAGGGTGTTAGATATAAACTGTCAAATCTAAAGGTCCATAAGAGTCCCGACATGATGCATCCCAGAGTGCTAAGAGCGTTGTGCAACGAGCTTGCCGAACCCCTGAAGATCCTGTTCTGTAAATGCCTGGATGAACAAAGGGTCCCCAGTGATTGGAAAAGGGCTCATGTGAGTCCGATCTTCAAGAAGGGTGATCGTGACTCCACGAACAACTATAGACAGGTGAGCCTGACCAGCATAATATGTAAAGTACTTGAGAGTATTATCAGAGATACTGCGATGGAGCATCTACTACGAAACAACCTTGTAAGGGATTGCCAACACGGTTTTATGCCGGGGCGCTCCTGCCTAACACAATTGCTCAAGGCATTTGATATTTGGACCCATATTCTGGAACAGGGTGGTAATATCGACAATATAAACCTAGATTTTGCCAAGGCTTTCGACAGTGTACCCCGCGAAAGGCTGAAAATCAAACTGCAAGGGTACATAATTCGGGGAAATGTCCTAGCGTAGATAAAAGACTTTCTACATGATCGCAATAAGTGTGTGGAGATTAATGTCACGAAATCATCATCTGTACCTGTCACAAGCGGGGTACCATATGGCAGTGTATTGGGCCATTGTTGTTTGTTTTGTCGTAAATGACATGCCTGACGTTGTACACTCCTCCAAACAATTGTTTGCCAATGACGGCAAGTTGTTCCGGGAAATCAAGAACCAAACGGACTGTGAAAAGCTGCAGAAGGATCTCTGTGAGCTCCAACAATGGTCAAAGAAGTGGTTGCTGAGATTCAATGTCACCAAGTGTAAGAGGATGCACCTGGGGCGTACCAACGGTAAGAAGGCGTATCATATGTCCCAACGGGATGAAGAAACTGCACTATTTGAGATTGAATGTGAGAAGGACCTAGGCGTGTATGTTGACAACGAGCTGAAGTTCTCTGGCCATTGCGAGAAGAAGGTAAATCAGGCAAATAAATTATTGGGTCTTATAAGAAGGTCGTTCAGATATCTAGACGGTCCGTCCCTCGTACTGATCTTCAAGAGTGAAGTGCTTCCCCACCTGGAGTACTGTCACCCCGTCTGGTCCCAAAGATATGCTGGGGACTGTCAGTTGGTTGAAAATGTTCAAAGAGGTGCCACCAGACTGGTGCCTGCACTTCGGCACCTCAGCTACCCTGAGAGATTGGAGCGCCTGAACTTGCCAGCTTATACTACAGACGGGCAAGAGGAGACCTAATTGAGGTGTATAAGCATCTCAAGGGGCACTACTCAGTCGAGTGTCCTTACTTGGAGCTGGCGGACGCTCGCCCCACAAGGGGTCACAGCTCAAGATTGAAGAAGCCGCAAGTCCAGAAAGCTGTGGGGGAAAACTTTTTTGGAGAGAGGGTTGTAAACTCTTGGAACAATTTACCAGAGAGTGTTGTAACGGCAGCGAGTGTGAGCTATTTCAAGACCAGACTAGACGAACACTGGAGCAGGTTCAGGTATATTCAGGAGCCGGTGCATGCCCAGTACTTGCCAACAGTGCGTAACAAAGACGTGACCTATCGCCCAAGCGGCTAACGAGCCGATCAGTGGTGAAGAGGATAAAATTAAAAGTAAGTTGAGGTGCCGAAGTGGAGGCACCAGTCTGGTGACCCTCCTTTGAACATTTTCAATCAACTGACAGTCCCTAGCATATCTCTGGGACCAGACGGGGTGACAGAACTCCAGCACTTCACTCTTGAAGATCGTTACGAGGGACGGACCAACAAGATATTTGAACGACCTTCTTATAAGACCCGTAATTTATTTGCCTGATTTACCTTCTCACAATGGCCCGAGAATTTCAGCTCGTTGTCAACATACACACCTAGGTCCTTCTCACGTTCAGTCTCAAATAGTGCAGTTTCTTAATCCCGTTGGGACATATGATACGCCTCCTTACCGTTGGTACGACCCAGGTGCATCCTCTTACACTTCGTGACATTGAATCTCAGCAGCCATTTCTTCGACCATTCTTGGAGCTCACAGAAATCCTTCTGCAGCTCATCACAATCCGCTTGGTCTTTGATTTCCCGGAATAACTTGCCGTCATTGTCAAACATTTGTATGGAGGATTGTACTATACTGCCAGACTGGGGGTCACTAATTCTAAGGGTAAATACTTAACTCTAATCTTAATCTCTAAGGGTCGCTGCCACCAGACCCCTTCTGGACAGCATGTAGCTCGTTAGGTAGCGGGCAGAGTGGACTAGGCATTGGGTTAGGCTTTTCATTGACCAGATCGATAAGGGGAAAGAAGGGTGAAACCATAACATGTCTTAATTAATTTATTCCTTATAAAGCATACTGGTAAAAGACATACAAATGAATTGGTCTTCCTCAGAAGAACAACGAAAATGTTGGTTACCCAGATGGGCACCAGACGTCTTACATTGATGGCGTGTCATCCACATACTTATTGCATAACAATCTGCGACCACCTTACCTCGGTCATTCCTTCTTACACTATCCCTTAACATGTCAGACTGCTCCACCTGTATGGAATATAGCACCGTCGGTTATCATACATAGTAGCACCATCTCAACGCACATGTTACACTCCACACCTGCAGGTATGGGACTCCTTGTAATTTCTAGGTATACATAACAGGCACCTCTTTCGCACACCGTCCTCGGTGGGTAGAGACGAGGGCTACACCAAGAGACATACCAGTACTATTTCTACGCCTGGTATTATAGGTCGCTCCAAGTGACGACCGCAGAGTTTCTCACGGTCTCCTTATTTGTTACTACTCATTTGGAGTGGTGTGCTGGGAATCCATGGGTTCACAGTGGATTGGCATAGCTGGGAGTAGTCACCACCTGTTGGGACGCTCACAGGGATAATTTCTCTGTCATCTTCCCCGCTCTGCCTTTCGCTACCAACAACTTTTTTGGAGCTTCTAAACTCGAACTGGGATAATGACTGCCGCGCAGAAAGGCACTCCGACCGCATGGAACCTGAGGTGACGGTAGAACGAAAGGGACTCAGTAATAATGCCTGACGGGCGGTTATCACACACCCTAACACATTACTATTACACTTATACATCAGGCAAAGCTTTAAACTGTAATAACTTCTATATAAGCCTTAATAATAGGGCTGGATATAGCCCGATAGGACACTGACCTGAGGTGACGGTAGAACGGAGGGTACTGAGTGTAGTGCCCCGCCGCTCGTCACCGCATAGGCCTACAGTTTCCAATCTTTAATTTTTACTTTTATTTCTTACGGTTCTCACCTGAACACTTTCCGGTATATTGTCACTCATGCCTTATAAACACATATTTTAATCCTAAATTACACACTAAGGTAAGGTCTTGGTTTGCTAGTTCGTGGGTAAATTCATTGGGTTATAATATCAACGCGGCACTCTCGAGGCGGGTACAGGGCGCTCCCCAAACAAAGGCAGAATGTTCATGGCGTGGGTATATCCACTTCACTTAAAACTTTAATTAGGGATCCTCCTCTCACACATTGCACTATTTGAACACAGACATAAGATTCTCTGATCACTGTACATGTCGTGGGTATATGTCACGTGAGGATACGAGGTGTATTAAGTTCACACCAATACATACAAGATATTTCCTTTCAAGTATAGTTTCTGGGTCACTTCCAACACCTCACATAGTACTGATGCATTTATCCTTTTTCCAGACCATTGTTCTCATGTATTTTCATATGATATCTGTGGAAGTTATGTTCGCTACACGTTCACAGACGTAAATAGTGTGACCTTCAAACCCTGATCCACACTTAGTCCTA